TCGATGAAGTTTTCTTAAAAAATAAGGAAAAAAGGTTTAATTTAGTTTATTTTCAAAAACGTCACTCACAAAACGAAATTTCTAAAATCCTGTATAAGTATTATTATGACTTTCTGGAGATTTTAGAACTTTTTTTTTTATATGTAAGGCTTTATGTTATGCTATAGCTATAAACTTTTAAATGTGGTAAAAAATACACAAGTACTATCCGATTACTTCACAATTGAAAAATAAAGCTTCTGTCAGTTTTCAATTTTTATTTATTTCTAAAGTTGTATGTTATATTGTAGCTCTAAAGTATGAAATGGGTTAAACAAACATAAGTACTATCCAATTCCATCACTTGCAAATTGAAAAATAACGCTTCTGAAATATTTGGTGTTTTTAACCTTATTGCGCATATGGTAAAATCGAATTTTCGGTTTGGGGGTGACCCTTTTCAAGAAGTAAAAACAAAATAACGCCTTTTCCATTACGTTCGAACAAAAGTTCATCGATTTATGACATAGGAACAAAGGATTATTAAAAAAAAAAGCCCTAACCCTAATGTACACTGACTGCGTTCGCATGACGTACTTTTTCCAGAGACTGACTATATTTTTTGTTCAACAATAAATATTCATTTCACGTTACACCTTCTTCAAAAACCGATATTGTATAAAAATAAAAATTCCAACTGTTATGGAAGCCGCTTCTTTTGTCTACGCGTTCTTTTGTTCACGTGTTTGAATTGAAATTCAATCTTTTGTTTTCACTCAGTTACCACAAGGCTATATTTTTGTTGATGGATGACAATTTATCTGGAGTCAGGATATTTTTTTTAATCAGTGTCGCCTCAAGCAAGGCAGTACAGCAACTAAGACGGAAGGAGTTACAGGGTGTGCACGAAGTAGAAACAAAAACATTAGTAATGAGTAGAAAGAGAAAAGAGCATTCAACAGGGCAGTAGATAGTGATTGGCATTGCGTTTGTTTTTTCAGATTAAAGTTGGCTGGAAAGTATGGAGTCGGAAGGGAGTTCCACAAGCTAGCGGTGCGAGAAAAGAAACTGTTATGTCTACATCTAGCTAGATCAACTATAAATTGATGAGATCACGTCGTCAGTCTAGTATTGCGCTTAAATTCAGGTACCTCAATCTAGGTACCATAGTGAAGAGCTCACCCGAACAATTACCATGAAAGTATTTATAGAAAAGGCACAGAGAGGCAACATTACGTGCGGAGGGCAAATGATGGAAGCCGAGTCGCTAGACCAGGACTGATAATATTGCTGATTCTTTTTTGGATCTTATCAAAGAGTTCTAGGTAAAGAGCAGCGACACCGGACCATATATAGCAGCAATAAAAATGACTGTAAACTCCGCAAATGTTGTTTCCCGATAAGATTCATTTTTACTTCTCGTATTCTTCTTTTTTCAGTTTTCTATTTCTCTATATAAAAAAAAAAATATCTATATCAGTTTCTATTTTTCTATAAAAAACCCCAAAACTTTCTTAAATTTAAGGACCGACCGGGAAGCTTCTAAAAAACAGCTTATGTAATCCAACTGAACTTTGTATTAGGAAAGCTGTCCACCAGTAGATTCAGAGTCGAGTCCGTTCGTTTGTCTGCTCGTGCCGTGAACACTCATAAACGCGCGCGCTCACACACATACACACACTGATATATACCCTCTCGCGCAGTACACATGCCATCCAGTAAAAGAGAGTCAACTGTCCACTTTGTAACCAACTTACACACTCGCATATGTAAAATGTTTTATGACTTGTAAAATAATTCATTTCATTTATTCGATGAAGTTTTCTTAAAAAATAAGGAAGACGGTTTTAGTTTAGTTCATTTTCAAAAATGTCACTCCCAAAACGAAATTTTTAAAATCCTGTATAAGTATTATTTTGACTATCTGGACCCTTCTAGTTTTTGTTTATATGTAAGGCTTTATGTTACGCTATAGCTATAAACTTTTAAGTGTGGCAAGTCAAAAATAGTCTGCACTTTCGCCATGACATACGAGACGTTGGGCGTTGACGCGGTGGAGTAGTGATCGGGTATCGAGAGAATTCTTTTTTGTTTTCTTAGGAAGAGTCAGTCAAAGTGATTTGGGAGACACAACTAATAATATGAAACCAATCTCAACCAGGTACCATCTTAGGAGATAATGTTGAACTTAAAGATATATCAAACCCCACCTGCTAGCTAGGTTACGCGCTGTTTTCATCAAAACCCGTATATATATCACCGACATTTGACTATGAAGCTTGTGCTTGCGATGCACTTTTCGCAGTGGATATCATTACATTAGACTTTTGCCTCAGCCTCACTTTCTTGGCTTGCTGCTCCCCCTCGAATAATATTAATGATAATACGATGACAAGTCAAAAGTTGTCTGTACTTTCGCCATGACATCTTTAAGTTTTTCACACTACCTTCGGTTCGTGCTTATAGTTGGTACTATTGTGGTCACGGGATCGAAGTTTGAACTTGATCGCGCCAGTTTTCT